CGTCAGGGCTTTCGAGGCGGGCCAGGGTTGGAGTATGACCTTGGCTGGGCGAGTCGCGTGGCGCAGGCCAGCTACAGCAGATGTCGCGAGCAGCGGACGGCACTGCGGCCGGGGGGGCTCACGGTGCCGCCGTCACCCCCGCGGCCGTCACCTTCCGCGCCGCGGCCCCCCCGCAGGAGGCTGCCAAGGGGACGACCAAGCGCATCAGCCTGGCCGGCATCCAAGGGGTGTCCTCGGCGCCGCTTGACGTCGACATCCCGGCTGGAGTAGACTCGGGGCAAACTATCCAGGCGCGCGTCAGTGTGTGGGGCCGCGCGGGGGGCTCGTTTCGGGGGCAGGGGGCAGCGGGCTGGGGCAGGGGGAAAGAGAGGCGCGGCGGAACGCGCTTGTTGTGTCTTGCCGGGAAGCCGCCACTGGAGGGTGTGGTGCAGGCTGGCTCGGCCTTTGTTATGGGGGTGACGCGGGGGCTGTGCGATCAGGGCGCAGACGTTGCGCCAGTGCCGACCTGGGGTGGCCCGGGCACACTCCTGCGCGCTCGCGCTCGTTTTCCTCGCAAGCAATGAGGCGCGCCTGAGCCGCCACGCGGGGCCGCTTGCGCGCCCGCCCACGCCCTCGCAGGTGCCGGCGTCCGCGCCGGGCGCGCCCGGCGGGCGCATGCGGATTCTGCTGCGGGTGGAGGTCGAGCCGCACCCCCTCTTCCAGGTGTGGGCCCTGGCGGGAGCCCCAGCCAGCCGCTGGCGCCAGGGCCGGCGCACACATCTGCCGAAAACGTGTGATGTGTGCAGCGGGCGTCCCAGGGCGTTTGGCCGGCAGGGCGCAGGGGGTATCGCCCATTTTCAGGCCCGCTATGATGTCAGACTTGCCTCCAGTAGTCGGCATGGAGTTCTGCAAGGTTTGAACCACCACCAATCACCCGCTTTGATCGCCGTCCGCTCCCCGCCCTCGCCCCAAATCGCAGCGCGAGGGTGTCCACGTTCACAGCAGCTTGGAGATGCGGCTAGCGGAGGCCCTCCTCGGCAGGTGAGCCCTAGTTTCGAGACCGTTGTCAACCCCGGCGCCGCGCTCGGCTCGCGGCAGCTGCGTGTTCCTGCACCGCCGCTCCGTTTGCAGCATCCCCCCACCCCTGAAGCGTGACGACTGCCAGCCCTGGCCTTCACACGCGTGTGCTCCCCTGGGGCCGCCTGGCGCAAAATGTGGACGCGCTGCCTGCAGTGGTCCAACTATCTGTCGCCCGGAGTGGCGTTTTGCGATTGGCCCCTCCATCAATTCCCCTCCCCCCAAATTGCAGGTCTGTTTCAGTGCCGACCATTGACGGCATGGCCTCGCTGAGCGTGCCGCCGCTGACTCAGAACGGGGACGTGCTGCGCATGCGCGGCAAGGGCGTGGCCGACCCCCGGGGCAGGGGGCGCGGCGACCAATTGGTTCACATCAGGTGCGAGCCCCGGCGGGAGGGGCGGCCGCGAGCATGTTAGCGATGCCGGACGGCCATGGCCGCGGCGGCAAACCGCCGCCGTATGCTTCGCGCAGGGCGGGGCGGCTGCCGATTTCGTGTTGCAGGGACTGGCGCGCAGGCGGATGCAAGCGCAAGCCTGGCAGGCAGCCTGCGGTCCAAATCCGCCTGGCAGCTCCCCTTGCCTGCGCCTGTCGCCTCACAGCTGCGGCTTCTCTCGACCGCCGCCGCCTCGGCCTGCCCGACCACCCCGGTCGCAGGGTCGTCCGGCCGAGCCATTTGACCGAGCGGCAGCGGCAGCTCCTCCAGGAGTTTGACCGGGACGCGCAGCAGCAGCAACAGCAGTCGGGGCAGCAGCAGCAGTATCACCAGCAGCAGCAGCAGCGGTCGCAACGCGGCGGCGGCAGTAGATAGCATGCGTTCGGGCTTGGCTGCGGCCCCGTTGACTTGCGCGTGCTCTGTGTCGTTGTTCTTTTACATGTCAAGTCGCAAACGCAGCCACTTGTGCGGCGCAGCCGGTGCACAAACAAAATTTCGCAGTTGATGCCGCTGCGTCCCCTGCTTCGCCTGCTGCTGCGGTTGCTGCTGATTCACTGCAGCGACCAATAACTGTGGCGGCACGAGCACTGGCCGCACGCCCAACGGTTGCAAAACGATTTCAATTCACAAATCAGCATAGAAGGCGCCGGTCAAGCCACAGGGGCAAACCGCGGCGCCTCAGTCAACCTCAGTCAACCTTCAGGACATACTCCAGCCCCAAGAAGAACAGCCCCACCCCCAGCCCGGTCAGCACCAGCA